ACAACATTGTCATTTAACTTTTTTTTGCCACAGTGAACTTTGTGAGTTTCTTGTCACAATTACCCTGAAAGAAAGTAGTACATGCACACAGAGTGGATACTGCAATTTTCATTCCCATGCTCCTTTATTGGTTAATTGTAGTTTCCAGCGGATAAAACAACTTATGAGCTGTTTAAAGGAGATCCTGAGTTATTACTTTTCAAGTTGCCCCACCCAAGTTTTGTTCTCCCACACATTCAGCCAAAGCACATGAGAACACACAGATTTCAATACAATGTATCCCAATAATCTTTCCATTCCAGACCCTCACATAGCCTTTTATACCTTAAAACTGTTAAATGGAAGCCAGTTACTTCGAACATTTGGCATTAAAAAGAGGTACCAAGCCTTAATTAGCACAGTGTCTAGATTAAGTCTGAGAGTTTACACTGCAGCATACCTAACTGTCTCATCATTCCTAGCTTTATGGAACAATGACTACACTAAAGGCCAACAAGAAGAAATTTTCATTAGAACTGCAAATTTCTCAACTCCCGCATGATAGTACAACAAATAAGTATTTCCATAAATACCAGAAGTTAGACCTGGCATTGGGAAATCCCAGCCTATCTTGGCTCTGCTTCTGACAATAGCTACCTTTTCTGCGGAACTGCACAATCAACTTTCTATTTTAAAAGACACTCCACTATTTTAATTATTTAGTATTGAAGATATTTGAAAACAAATCCCAGTTCTAATCATCTTCTTGTCCAATCAACAAGATAGCAATTAGAAGAACATTGGTCTACTGACAAATTGCAATATGCATTTTTCAGATGTTTTCCAGGACTCCAAAAAATTGTTCTAAAACTTTGCAGTTTTTGCTTACAAATTTATGAGAGTGAAAACAATCCAAATCACCACAGCCCTCACATAATATGCCTTTTCTAGAGTAAAAAAGGACAGTTAAAATCCAATCTACCTAAACAGATCACTTACGTTCCTACATAATCTTAGTATCATAGAGCTAGATATTTAAATGTGTGTAGGTGCCTGAAAATGTTGATGAGCATCTTGTCATATTTAAGAAGCAGGCAAAACATGTTTAGGCAAGCTTAATCTTTACACATTTAAAAATCCACTCCGCCATTATCTGCCTGTTTAAGATTTTAGATGTTTTTGAAGGCAGGCCACAAACTGACTAGTCACTACAGAACACACTCCAATCTCAAATATTACTAAGAGGTCTAATAAGACATCAGTAGCTCTTTTTTTGTTGTTTTAATTGGATTATTTCAAAATCTGCTTTTCCAAGCAGAAACAGTGAAGAACTTATGTCTTACTGGGTAGAGAAATTAACTCTCCATTATGTGAATAAACTATGGACAGTCCATAAACAATTTCAGCTTTGAAGTGATATCTCCTGGTATTACTATACCAACTTTTTCAAGTGTTACATGTAATAGTCTCTTGCAACAATCAAAGTGGTCATCATTTTAGGTGATCGGCTTTCAGATGTTTATTAGGTGGTAGGTTTTGAGTATGATAATGAGAAACAAGAGGTGAGGAGATTGGAGAAAATACAACTTATCAGGCAGAAGAGACTTGATGCTTTGTGAAGACATCAGTGCAATTTCTGTTGTCTACACATTCTTCAAGTCTGCACAATCCACTGCTTAGCTTCCAGTCTACTGCTTTGCTCCCACCGAGGCATCGTCTTCACAGATTCCTAGTCTACAAGCATCCTCCTGTGACTACACATCACTTTGACAATAGTCATTTGTGACAGAGCGATAAATCTCATTCCTTCTCTCCAAATACACATGTTCACATGGCAACAGTCACCCCCAGGAAAGATTTCACAGTCATTAAGTGTGTCAAGGACAAAAGATTCTCCAGTTAATGGAGCTGGCTTCACACATAGTAAATCATTTAAGATACAGGGATAGAGCAAAAGCATGAAGTGAAGAGTAACCCTTCCATTTAAGAGTGATACTCTCACCTCTCAGCTGTGGACTATATCAATTTTGCTAAATATCTGAATTAGAACCCTTATTCCCTTGTGTGTTCCTGCAATCCCTTTGCTGGCATGTCCACCATTATGCTTTTTAGGCCAATAATCTCAGGGTGCCAGTGCTAAGCCAAGCAACAACTGCAGAAAGGTTACCCCTACTTTCACCATTCCTCTCAGGGCTGACCCTATGGTAAGATACAGCAGAGAGTTATCCATCTGATACTCACTCCACAAAGTAATTTTCCATCACTTTTTTCCCTGAACTGGCTCACTACTAAGTTAAATACCCTCAAAATGAGAAGAGCAGATATGAAAAAAAAGGGAGCAAGAGAGTCTTCTTCACAAGCTGCAAGATTGGTATCACTACGCACCAAAGCAATGCCTTGACACCAAGGCATAGGCTTGAGCATCAGCAGTTATGCTCACTTTGTATTCAGCCACTCCAGAGAAGCCTAGAGAGCTTTAATACATCAGTATCATTACATTACATTATCAGAAATTTCCTTTGTGGTCTTCATTCAGTCTCGCTGCTGGAGAAGTGTTTGTGTAATTCCCGTTTCTCACACACACCTTGAAGACTTATTTCCTACTCCTCCCACTCCTTATTTTTTTACGCTAGCAATAAGAGAGAAGGGTACTGTTCCTTATCCCAAGACACCTTCAGTTCTAAAAAATTATACAATAAAGATTTCTTCTAGAAAGGAATAAGAAAAATAGTCCATCCATCGCTGCTGAATTTACCCTTATCTCCAGTCCAAGAGTAGTTACCATATCTTATAAATTGAGATACAAATACAACTAATTTCAATTTAAAAGACCTCCTCTTTCTCCTCAAAAATTATAGCTAAGGGCAGCTTCTAGAAAGTGAAAAGAAGGATAATTTTCCTTGCTTATCTTGCACAAAATATAGAACAGCTCCTGTTGGTTGTTTTGAATTATGCCCTTAAGGTTTGGCTTCAAAACAGAGGAAACCAGTCTGTCACGGATTTAGACTGTTGTGCTCTTAGAGCAGCATATCTAAATTTTAGGTATCTGAAAAATCCTTTGTGGTCAACTTTGTCTCCAGCCAGTAGACAGCAGCAGTATCAAAACAGCAATTACTTTCAGACGCCGCTTGATTTTGGGGAGAGGCGCACACACATTACCAAAGATAGATAAGTAAGGAATATATTACTGAACCAGTGCGATTTATAACAGTGGCTGGACTAGCTACAGCAAGATCTGGTTTCATCACGCATGTCACTTAGCCTTTGCACTAGAGAAGCTGCCCAGCCAACTAGCACAAAAGTGTGAATGAAGTCATCCTAACACATGGGCACACCTAACCTCCAAGTGTGATCATATATTAGCCAACAGACTGCTCCCATTACTCAAGCAGATGCCTATTGAAAGTTTTACTGGTGTAGATGAATTCAAAATAGCAATTGCTGCTACTCATTACAACAGGAGTGACAATGTCTGACCACAAAACTACAGCAGTTCTGAACTGAAAGGCATGTTCAGTTAGATGAGACACTGGAGATTTGTGATATTATTTTTATTTGTTGTGAAGTGGCACAGGACACTGTGCCAGTGGCTGATTCAGTCTGGTGGCTGGCAAAAGCCAAACACTGTTTAAGTAGTTAAAAGTGTTTCGCCCTGCAACCAAAACCGGAATACTTCTAGAATACTCTAGATGTTCTAGAAAACAAAGGGTGGTTGACATATTTAGCTTGTTTATAGAGGTGGTCTTTTAAGAAATAGCTCTTTCTAAACTGAAGTAGTAGAGCATCCACCAGTGCAGCTGCTAAGAAGCCAATTCAGCAGCTGCACCAAATGCTAACCTGTAGCTCCAGAGACATTCTAAACAGTAACCAGCACATCTGCAGGGTACGCTGCAACACTGACTCTACCTTCTTCGCTGCTACTGATGTGCATTACAGGCTCGCTAAAGACACTCCACTCTGATGGCATGCCATGAAACCATCTTTACATCAAAGCATACACTGAATGCACTGTGTAATTTTATTCCTAATCATCAAAACTTCTTAAGAAGGTCTATTTTCAAACCTAAGTATCTTTATCCTATGTGGCTGCTTCAGCACCCCATGCAAATCTGGCCGTGATAAGCAATACATCACTTCTTTCAAAGCAGAACAAAAATTTAGGACAAAGAATGAAATGTTACATTCTTCACAGATCATGGAGTTTTGTTACAAGTTCCACACAATATCTGTAAAGTCAATTAAACACAAGTCACCTATTTCACTGACTGCTTACTGGCAGCACGAAAACCTCGAATGAGTAGGCATAGAAATAGAAGGACAAGAACAGGACTGGATACAGCAGTTCCAATGCTCTAAGGGAAGTATGCTTACTATATAAGTAGAAGCTTGGGTCTCCACTGATACTACTACTACTACTAGCAAGAGGCAACATGATGTGCAGCCTAATGTCTCTCTCAATGCTATTCGGAAGATGCTCCTGAGGACCTCCATATTTATGTCTGCTTTCTTCACTGCTCGGCCTCCTATCCACCCTTCCTATCACACCAGAGCTGATAAACCACAGCTGCCCTAATTGCCGAGTGGGTTCTTGCTGACAAAGTAACCCTGCCACAGACTGAGACGTTTTGTTAAGTGCTCAAACACCACACTGATAAGAGCTGTATTATGCTTAGACAGAAATATGATTGGGTAGTAAAGTCCTTACTAGGCTTAATCCTAAACCTGGAACAAAGTTTCACTCTGGGCACCAGCACAACATAACTGAAGTTCTGCAGACCCTACATACATGTGTATGATTCAGTTATGGGGACAAGGGTAGTGAAATACTGTTCATTAACATAACAGAGAAGGACCCTACAAATAAAAACAGCCTACTCCATACTGTACTCAGGTATTGCCTTTGTGCTTGGAAAAAGATTTTATTCTCTGTAATTCATTAACCTACTAGCTTATCAAGGTGGGAGCGAAGAACTTAACTTCCAGCATGGAAACCAGCAGTCAAACTGAGCAGAAATACTTACGTCACTCTTCCTGAACTTTGCTTTTAAGCTCTTCATGCTGTTCACATTCAACCTTCCAAACCTTTGAGGAGCTTTTTATCCTTCTTCAATATCTAAACAAAAAAGAAAGAAAAATAAGATTCCAGCTTGATACCATTCAGTTCACTGGCAGCCAAGTCTGAATTGCATTTGCATACCTATATCACCCTTTGAGGATTTAGCCCTCAAGCTCTAAAAAAGATTAACAGCTAGCTAAGGAAAAGTTCTGTTTTCTCCAGACTTAAAAGCAAGCCTAAGTCTGACCACTGAAGAACAGAACAAACCTTTACCCAAAGCTCAAGTATGTATCACATTATACAAGCTACATCTCTACATAATTAGATCACCAACATGTTGGTGATGAGCAGATTTCTCTGCCCACTGCCTATTTTAACCTTATCATCAGGGCAGCCATTTGTAAAGTGGCAAAAGCATAAATAAGCATGAAGAGTCACTCATTAAAACTTCACTATCCTATCACTGGGTAACAGAAGTACCACCACTATTTTATGCACAATCCTAACCACTAACCAAATTCAAAATTAGACTTAAACCATGCATGATACATGCAAGGATAGCTCTACACAACACAGCAGATAGAATCATCTGAGCACGAGAGAGGCTACTCCCAGAAGAATTGTTTTAGATTATTCCTCATAAGAAACTGTGCCTGTATTCTTAGAGTCAAAGCCACTTATAATTTGGCAGTGCACTATCAGAGTCATGTTCCCCTTTCCTCCCTTTCATGCAAAGAAAACCAGCACTTGAACAAACATATAAAACTAATGTAACGGACAAGCTGCAAAGTCTCACAGAGGAATTGGGAGCAAAGTTTCCTACAGAAAGCTCCAGTTGTACCACATATTGCCAATCCAGGACAAACCTAACAGTGAACAGCATGTTAAAGTGACATGGCAATGTGCTTTTTCCTGCAGCACAGCAGAAAAACTTAATGAGGGAGCAACGTACATCTGGATTGGCAAATGCACCTATGTAAAAATGTTCCACATTTCCAGTTTTACAGTATGCTTACTGAAAATAGTCACTTTCATCTGTGAGTTTTAGCTGCAATACAAATTTTTTCTGAAGGAACAGTTTAAAGTAAAGGATGTTCAGCTGTATAAACTTCCTCCCTCCACCCTAGAAGGAAAGTAGAAAAAGTTTTACAAGTCTAGTCAGATAAATAAATAACTGAAATGAGGACTGGAGTATAATTTCAAATAGGTCATGCAGGGTCACTATGTTTCACATCACTCTTCAGAAAAAGTAGATTACAGTTTGATAAGCAAAGTGAGACTAAATTGTTTCATAAAAGTGCAACTCATTATTATGAGGCAAGCTGCTAAGTAATCATCATCACTCTACTATGAGTTTTTAAAATCCAACTACACAGTACACTCTTAGTAGAATATATATGAATGCTTCCACAAAATCCAAAGCTAAGTACCAGTCAGGAATAGCAATTAGTACCAAGTAAACATGCCATTTAGTTCAACCCCATATTTATCTGATAACCAGTTAGGACAAACTCAAGTACCTTTCTTCAAAAAAAACCCAAACAAACAAAAAATCCCATATATTATATACACACAAACACATTTCCCACAGGCCACACCCCTCCAATAGGTAACAATAGGTAATGCGGATGGGGTAATTCTGCAAGTTGTTAAATATCATTACATCTAATTAAATTACTCTAAGTCTAATTATGCAGTCATTTTGAAGTCATGTCAGATTCCCGACTGACTCCAAGCAAATGAACAAGGGGTTTCATCCGAAGTTCTCGCATTTAATCAAAGGAGAATGGGCTTCATGCAAAACAAAAAAAGGAAAACAGATTTTGCAACTTTTAACTCCCTGACTTAAGTGAGAACTTCTTAGCTCTTTCCTGAGCTGAGTGACGTATTTTTAAAATAGTAACAAAAAAAAAAATTTAAATAATCAAGAAGAAGGAAATATTTCGGGTTGCTCCGAGAGAAGCATACTACTTTATTTCTGCTACACCTACACAAACTTTGGAGGAAGTGTTTAAATTGCACAACAGCTGTCACAACCTGCACTGGAAAGGAGCCTGAACCTCAGCAAGAGACTAATAATCTCCTAAATCTTTCTCTAGTAACACTAAGGATGATGAGAACTGCAAAGACCAGAAATGCCAGGGTACAGACAAGACAAATACCATTACTTATCTGCCTTTCTTTACATACCACAAACAAAAAAAAAAAAAAAAAAAAAAGAGAGAGAGAGAGAATGTAGGACAAAACCCCAAGCTGTTTTTAAAACTTTTGTAAAAAACAAAAAACCCCGACAATTTAAAGGAACTTTAAAATGATATAATATCCTACAAAATCCAAAATTTAACAGGACTTTTTATTTTAAATCTTAAATACATTTAACTAAAAAAAGTGAACTGTTTAGTTAGCCCAGTTAATAAAATATAAAGAAATCCTGTGCATGGGCAATTGAAAACAAGAAATCTTTCCTCACATACAGATTGCCAAAGAATTGTCTGCTATAGGCTGTCTTTCCCCTTCCTACCCCCTCACCATTTTTGGTTCCTGTGGATGAAAGATTTGTTACTGCTCCCAAGGAAGACAAAGTACTCAACTACAAGGCTAGGGGAGAGATGACAACTCCTTGTAGGTATACACACAGAACAGCTGTAAAGCTGGGCTCTCTTCTCTGAGGAACCTGTAGTAGAGTCTAACTAACAAGATTTGCAAGCATTCCAACTATCTTACTTTTACTCCTTCTGAGGAAGGAAGAAGCGTTTCTATCAGAAGACAACTTGTTTTTTCCACAGGATACTTCATCATTTGCCTAAGTGCATTTTATACATTGAGTGTGAAACTCAAATCCTCAGCATAATTAAAAAAGCATGCACAAGCACACAAAACCAGCATTCCCAAGTTTAGTATGTGTCACATCTCTACTTATTCCACAAGAGGAAGTAAACACAAATATTAATATTACAGTTTAAGCATCATAATGCCCATAATCCTTCAACTGTAGAGACAGAAATGCATGGAGAGGGCTGCCTTTTCTCGGCACTGTTTAAAGGAGGAAGTCACCTCTCACAGGGTGTAATTATTGGAATTTATGGAAAAGGAGGTCAGCATCCTGATTCAGCAGAGCTTTATGACAACTGCTTATTTGCCAGAGGGAGGATAAAAGGAAGCGCCATTAATACTCTTGATAGGAAGTGACTACTAGAAATTCACTAGGGAGCATGAAGATACTTCAAAACAGTATTTCTGCAATGAATCACAGGTATTAACAAGAAGCATTCTCTACTAATAGTGGCATTTCAGTGCTTTCTGAACAAATGCAGTAATAAATACTGAGCGCTGTCGTTTTATAGCTGCAGCAAGTTAGCAGCAGATAAGTGCTTAACTCCAGGGATACTCAACAGCTAATGCCGATCATGTGCTTTTAACCATTAGATCCAAAATTAAATATCTAGTCCTGCATCTCATCTTCCTTTAGCTTAATGCTATGAAATGACCTTGAAGCCACAAAAAACATCTTTAGGTTGGTGGTAAACCTATCTAGTTCAAACAGGAGACATTGAAGTGGTGGTAATCTTTGGCCTCAATAATTTCAGTGCAACTGTGTTTTAATGCACAATACAATCTTTAGGTTTAAATGCAGGAAACAGATTAGGATAATCTTCCCCACTGATTTACAGTGAGATTTGTGGAAACCACAGTAAACAACAATACTGATATTTTTTCCCTTCCATGAAATTGCATTAAAATCAGAGTAAGGCCTATCAAACAATGTTACAATTAACTCCTTGAACAGCCAAAGATCCAGTGATGCAACAGTGAAAAGCCATAGTTTCACTAAGTAAAACTACAAGTTTACAATAAAACAGTTTATAAATCCCACTAATGAGAGTCACCCTTTACTGATTGATAAGTGCTGAATTCAATTAACTTAGGTGTCAAAAATCCTGCATCTCTTTCAGAACACCCTGAGAAGCCTCCACCTCAAACAAAGCAGTTCCACAGCAAACCACAAGTCATGTTTTCAACTAATTTCCCCTTCCCCTCCCAAAAATACTTCAAAAAACTTTTTTAACCCTGAGAGGTTACAGAAAATATTTGCAGACTCCATGCAAGATCTGGCAACATACATGGGGGGAAGGGGGAAATGAAAAAAGGGTCTGGAATGTGAAAGAGTCCTATTGATGCTAGACACTTAAAACCTCCTTTGTGCGAATACACCTACTCAGGGGGGAAAATAAGGGGCCCCAGAAGCGTCTTCCCCCAAAGAACAACATCATCATTATTCTCTGGATCGTCTATTTGTAAATCACAAGCCCTGCTCCAACCCAGAAACACAAGCCTAGCAGCAGCCTGCACTGCAGCGCAGCCAGAGACATAACACCAGTGTATCCCTTCTGCTGCTCACCCTCACTACCCAACTCCTCAAATGTCTCATGTGCCTGAGCTCCCCTGACGTACCATTCAATGTCATGCTCCAACCTAAGCTCTTCCTTAGCAGTACCAAAGCCACAGTACTGTCTGGAGGCATTAGCCACTGCCCAGCCTCTTCGATTGTTTCCACACAAAGGCAGCAACCCCACTGTCCCCCAAAAATATCCACCTAACACTTCACCTCTGACTACCTTCCTATTTCCATCCAGCTGAGCATATTCTTCAAGGTCAAACCAGAGAAGCATGTATGATGTGACCAAAAGCAACAGGAACATTTCCCCATTCTTTATCAGCACAGCTCGGTTTTTCCATCTTGAGTAACCCACCCTACCACAGGAAAAGTCAAATAGAACAGAAATTTTTAAACTGAATGTCACCTATAAAGACAAATAATTCTTGGCTTGGTTAATCCACTATTACTTACTAATGAAAACACACTGAAAAATGCACTGAGAAGCCCAAGCACTACACAAGAGTGGGAGTGATTTATATACAGTTAATCCCACTTTAAACAGAATCAGACATCAGAGATAGCAAGGGTCTTGGGTAACTTAGTACAATCCCACTATCTGCTCACAAATCACTGGCAAGGATGTGCTGAACTGTACAAATTTAAGCATTTGAGCCCAAAA